TCCTGCCTCTGGTCTACTTGCATCCGTTTTTACACTGGGCCTGAATGGAGGATGGAAGAGGGAGTGAAAAAGGGGCTGCGCAAGGCGTTTCACAGGCACATCACTAGGTCCCTGCTGTGGGGAAAATCGTAGGAATCGGCAGTTTAACTGTCAGTCGGCAAAAGTTGAAAGAATGCAAACAAAAAACCTCCATAAATTTCGCGGCCGAACCCGAAAAATCGTATTTTAATGGCTTTACTTTGAGTTTATACATAAAATTCTGACGAAGATACACGCTCCACGCTTCTACATACCTTGGTTCTTCAAGAAGTCTCAGGAAGAAGGAGGTGCTGGCAGGAGTATCTGCAGAAAGAACAACCTCAAGAACGCTGGAATCTGTGGGAGACAATAGGACAAAGCAACACTATACATATCTTTCTCACTCTTGTTTCCAGCAGATACGGGGCGCAAAAACCGTTAAGCTTAACACAAAACCTGGCTTCAACAGAAAATTTTAGTTTTAACTTAAATCGACTGGACGAGTTGCATAGTTTATCTGTTTACTGAGATGGTGATGATGGTGGTGATGGCTGGCTGATGACGGCTAATAAACCAGAAATGGACACTCCAGTCTCCCTTGTCTTTGTCGATAATGTTTCTGCCTATAATATACGCTAGCTGTCGAGCGGCTGCTGGCTATCTAGCCACTGGAAGACATGGACTTATCTCCGTAAGTTTAGCCAATAGTTATGGCGCGCTTCCGGGTGTAATACAGAACAGGCCCATAGGGAATAAATAGTCTCCCAGATCTGGCAAAATAGCCATCGCGGAAGATGTTACAAAATCTTCAGAAGGGATTTCAGTTTGTCAAAAAGCAAGGCCGTGTTACAACGTGGGGGGAAGTGCGATGCCTCTGCGGTACAATTTGAAGAGGTTGAACTACTTGACCGGGCGGGGGTATCGCCCTTCGATTCTGTGTAGCGCTAGATGACCAGAGAGTCAGGATTTGGATCCTGGTTCTTCCGTCCTCTAGCTATGGCTGTCTGGCGATAGCAAATAAGACAGAAACGAATAACCAAATTTTACTGGTCTTTCAGTGTAATACGTACCAAGGTAGGCTAACACGCTGTCGGTATTGGCCATCCAGCCAGGATCTGAAGGCCAGAGAAGGCATTCGCAGAAATCTACTGAGCGCGAGATCAGTTCATTGCGCCATCCAAGACCGGTCAGTTTGCTGGAGGAAGCCGACTGTGTGAGGCCCTGCATCTTGGCCTGACGGCCATTTACCGACATCTGCATGCATCTGCAAACACAAGCATAACCCCTCCCCCCAGTTAGGCACGGCTAGACGAGGAGCAGAGGAGCAACAGTGCAAACAATAGCCACACACACATACGTGATAAGCGCTCGTCGAAAACGAGTCGAAAGATCCACCAGCTTCCTGGTAGCCTGCGCCAAGCTGGGCAAATCGCGCGCAGTTTTGAGGATCAGCAGCAAGAGTAACTGCAGTCCCTCCATAGCGGCGCAGCGACGGCCGATCTCCCAGTCTAACCACCACGTTGTTTCAGCATCGTCTGACGTCGTAGACAACTCACCGCGAAGAGAGAACAGAGAGCTCACAAACTGCACCTACACAAGAGAGACAAAAGGAAGTATGGGCGGGAGAGGGTGTCACGAGAAAACAGGATAAGAAACACACTGAGGATGACAGAGTAGGGGACACTCACAAGTTCGTTTAGGGTTGACGCGGTCTGAGACGACGGTCCGACGGTGCATATAGAGTGGACAAGGTGACCGATAAGGAGGAAGTAGTTGCAAACACCGAGCCGGGTCAGAGAGGAGAGAGCGGTTCGAAACCTGCAAAAGACGTTAAATACAGAGCATACAGAGAGGGGAGTAGC